TTGGACATGCTGGTTAGTCGACAGAGTCAAAAATGAACTGTAATATCATGGCTTCCTCACATTATGTTTCATTTTGTGTTTTATTCAACGACAGGACTCTAATATTTTTGAGAAATTGATTATATTAATTGGTGATCTGACAACCTTGCTTCTTGAGTGGAAATGGAAGATTATCTGACCAATAACAAATCAGCATAAGAACTGACGTCACCATTTATTCGACGTATCGCCAAATGACGGCCATGACGTTACGTTTGAAATGAGCTCTGAAATTCAAGAATTTTGAATAACGCATAGACTCATTATTTACAAAAAAAGCAAGAGAAGTGTTGCAAAGATTAATTTAGGTCCCTAGTGACACAGTGGAGTAATTGAATTTCAATAATTCATTATATCAGTCCACTTCGCCCATGTAGATTGTAGATTGTAGATGGGTCGTATAGGCTGGGAGACCTCTCGATCACTGCGACCTAGAAGATCTATTGTGATTACCCCTATCTAGTTTTGGTCCTCTAACCCTAGACTTCTGATGAAGCCTACGATTTTTCTGACGGTTGACTTTTCCAATTCAGCAGGGGTGAGATAGACCTGTTCTAGGTGGTTCAGCCTTTGGCGGACTAATACTTCACATGAGCAAAGTATGTGTTCCGCGGTTTCGGTCGCATTGTTACAAAAGCGGCAAGTGTCAGTCTCCGCCAGACCCATCTTTTTGAGGTGGTACCTCAGAGGGCCGTGTCCTATGAGAAAGCCTGTGATAAGCTTTAGCTCTGGTTTGCTGAGGCTGAGTAGCTCTTTGGCTCGGTTCTGCGAATGGTTGATGAACCTTTTCGCTTGTCGTTGACCTGGAGTTGCTCTCCAGTAGGAGGACTTTTCAATTTCTTACCATTTCCCGAGTTCTTCCTTTAGGTGACATTTGCTTATCCCACAAAAAGGCTCAAGACCAAAAAGTGCAGATTCTGCACCTTTTTTTGCAAGGCGATCAGCTGCCTCATTTCCTTTGATTTCTTCATGCCCTGGAACCCACATAAGTGTGACTTTGTTGCCCTTTCCCAGTTGCATGAGTGTTTCAAAGCAGTTCCATGTAATCTTTGATGTGAAAACAAATGATTTTAGGGCTTTTAGTGCGGCTTGGCTGTCTGAGAAGATATATATGTTGGCACCCCTGAAACCTTTGCTCAGGCACCTTTGGGCGCAAAGGTTGATGGCATGTATTTCAGCTTGGAAGATAGTGGGGGGTGACCTAAAGCTTCAAATAGCCTACATCCGGGTCCATATACACCCGCGCCTACCCCTTCTTCCATTTTCGAACCACCAAACAAGGGACCCTCTGTCCAGCTGAGGCTCAGCGGAACCGTACCTAGGGCGGCTTTTTATAGCCACTTCAAAGGTATGATCGAAACTGAGCCTGGCTGGCATTATGTCCGATGGTTTGGTTGCAGATTCCATTTGTACTTCTTGTAGAATGACCATGTGACCAGTGACATTACCTGGTCTGGCCAATTCAGTGGAGTTCAGCCTGTATGCACTGAGAGCTGCGCAGTCCTCTTGATGAAATATGCAAGGGTAGTAGGTCAAGCATAGCTTCCATTGCTGCAGTACGTACGTACGCATAGCCCCTGTGATCCCAAGACACGCGAGTCTCTGGATTTTTTGCAGCTTAAGTTGTGCTGTTTTTTCCTTACTTTTGGTCCACCACACTAGAGAAGCGTATGTGACCATGGGTCTGACCACCGTGAGATAAGACCAGTAGATCATATTTGGTTTAAGACCCCACGTTTGGCCACTTCGCCCATGCAACAGATTTCAATAAAGAAAATGTAAATCCCAATTCCAAAAATCTTCCGTACACGAAAAACGCCCTTGAGAACGTCATCAAATGAACCGTTTTCAAGTGGAAACGGAAAAATCTAATTTAATCACAAATTTTGGTGTACGTAGGTGTCGAATAGTTCATTCAAAACTCTGGTAACTGGATAAAATCACAAAATTTCATTTCGGAATGTTGACACCATTTCATTTACATAATAGACTAAGTTTCGCCATCAATATAACTCTGACAAGACGACCTGTACCTCGTGAATGGAGATTTTACGACAAATATTTTATAGGAGCTTTTACTCTCAGATCGATTGTCACGCTGTTGAATGTCGCTAGAATAAAAAAGTCTTGAAAACCATGGGAGAAATCGCTCGCAATACAAACAAATGAAAAACAAGAATGAGAAAAATTGAGATTCTAGGTTTCCGCATCATTTGTCAGTGGGACGGAATTGTGACATCGTGTCTCTCTGTAGCGCAGACACAGAATACTCAACAATTGAGTATTCTGTGGCGCAGACGTAGAGGTCTGTGTTCGACTTCAAATTCAAATTCAGTTGAATCAATTCTATAGCTTATACATCTTATTGATAGAATATATATGAGCTCCTACACTGAAGTTTGTGATGAGCTTATGCATTGAGTGATTTATTATTTGTAGATTCATGTGCTACGAGCTTTCAAATAATGAAGATTAGGAAAAAGTTGATCTGAGTAGATAAAAAAGGAATCATTATAATTATAGTAGGTGAAAAACAAGAGATATATTTGACTTTGATTATGAAACTACGCTGAAAAGCGCCTAGAAAACGTCATTGTTGCCTTGGATATAATCTAGGAGATAATTTTTGAATTTTCTATGATTCAAATCTGTTGAAATGAATGGTATCGTTTGCATTGGGATTTTGATAATTTTTCAACCCTCATTTTTTCACTTGTCACGCCACTTACTCCAATGCATATTGTATAGGGATAGCGTTGAGCTGGATAAGCTAATCTGAAGTTCTGTTGAAGTTGAGTTTATGTTGGTTGAACATCAGAATGCAATATATTGTGAAACATTCCATATATCACAACTTCCTGAATGGATCTTCCTGAATCGGAAAGCATTTCGAGAAAACTTATTATGCTTCATCTTATCGCCCTCAATGAAACATCTCAAACTTGCCGAAAATTGCAATGTAATGTGAAAAACTCCATACATCGAAACATACTGTATGAATCCGCTCGCATTCAAAACGATTTCGAAAAAACTCATTGTTCTTCATTTTATCGCCCTCAATAAGACATAAAAAAATCCCGGTGAAACGGGGTGATTCCAAACTTTTCGAGAATTATCACATTTTCAGATAATATCACCCCTTCATGTCGAAAAGGTGGAATAACAAGAAAGTACTGACGTTTTACTTAATGGAATGAGCTATCAGAATCTTGAAAGGAATTGAAAATTGGTTGATCCATCCAAAGTTATGACGGTTTGAAAATGATAGAAATTTTTGCTTGCCCCGCTTCAAATGTGAGGCAGTTTATAAACTGGGCGTCAATTGAAACGTTAATAGTGAAATTTGGCATCAAGTTTGACTTCTCGTAATTTCTAAAATATTGAACGAATTTTGAATTGCCGCCCAGATTCTGAATGCCTTTTTCATCGTCTTTCGAACCGTTCCTTACAGCTTCTTCTAAATTGATCAGGATCCATGATACAGGGTGAAACAAAGTTACGTGCATTTTGAAAAGAATTTCTCCGCCCCCCCATTTTGTCGGAACACCACGATGCTCATATTTTATTCGGGCATTTCATAAATTGCAACCATACCTCGGAACGTTTTCGAGTTTTTGCCAAAAACAACTGTGGTTTCCGAAAAAAACATTTTTTTGCATTTTTTTTAAATGAACTAATTTTAGAGAAGTTCCATAAACGGGTGCTTTTATGCATTTTAGGAAATCGTTGGAGCAGATATGTATACCAGGTTACTCAAAAACAATCAATAATTTATTATTTCGCAGTCTATGATGAAAGTTTTCTACCTTAGTGAGCAGTAAATCAACACATCTCATCAACAAATACAAACAACGATACCTTGTTTCTATAACAGCGTATTGTTGAAACAATGTAGGTATGCATAGAGGTTATATCAATTGCCAATTTTCATGAAAACGTCAGTGTAATTCGGGTCCTAAAAAATTCGAAGATGCCTCGTTCAAATCGGGTCGAAATGGAAAATATCATTAGGTAAGATCACTATAGTGATATAAATAATAATTCAGTACAGATAATCATTATTTCAGGTTACGACGATTAGGATATACCCAAACTCATTTATGTACCATTTTCAATAAGTCAGTCATGACAATAAAGAGACTGATTCATCGTTTTGGTGATACAGGTAATTAGTCCATTAAAAAAAAATGCAAAAAAATTTTTTTTTTCGGAAACCACAGTAGTTTTTGGCAAAAACTAGAAAACGTCCCGAGGTATGGTTGCTATTTATGAAATGACTGAATAAAATATGAGCATCGTGGTGTTCCGACAAAATGGGGGGGCGGAGAAATTCTTTTCAAAATGCACGTAACTTTGTTTCACCCTGTATTATGGATCCTGATCAATTCAGAAGAAACTGTGAGGAACGGTTCGAAAGACGATGAAAAAGGCATTCAGAATCTGGGCGGCAATTCAAAATTCGTTCAATATTTTAGAAATTACGAGGAGTCAAACTTGATGCCAAATTTCACTATTAACGTTTCAATTGACGCCCAGATATGAAAATATTCCTTTTCAATACTTCCACCCAATCAAGGGGTTCAAGCGTGAACGATGGAAACTTGTTATTTTATTAGTCCTCGATCGCAGATTCGTGATTAGGTTCTCCCAATTCAGAATTTCTTTCCACGTCCTGTATGATGAATATCAATTTATCATTACCCAAAAAAAGGAAAAAAAAACAAAAAAAACGAGAATTGACCAAGAGAGGCTGGCACAAAAGATTGAAAACTGAAAAGTGAACAGGATACCATCGAATACAAGTTGAAGTTAATGAGAATCCGGTTAGGATACCTCGGGATTCCCGTACTCACAAGTCGTGAGTATCTGAGGACAATCCGTACAACATAACTCACCGTTTCTTTTGTGATGGTTGTATACCAGTGGCCAAAAGATTCTTGTAGTATTCGGATCGGATAAACCTAGGATAACAGTCTTTCTTCAGCAATAACGTATATACATGCTCTTGTGCGGCGTCGAATGTGAAACGATTTGGCGTTTTCATTTCTTGGTGAACTTTTTCCATTGTTTTGCCGTCTATGTTGATCTCGCATGGAGCTCCGGGGGCCAGGAATTCTCTGAAATAACGAAAACAAAAACACGATGCATACATAAATTGAGAACTCTCACTAGAATGAACATATCTGACTTCTCAGAATTTAAATAGATATTTTCTAGGAAGAGCTTTACCGACAAGATTGAATTCAGTAATCTGAATTTCGCTTTGCAGGATGTAAATATGCAAACAGATTCATCGAATATAGAAAGCCAACATTCCAAGAATAATAGATACCTACTCAGAAAGAACGTATCATTAGGGGTTATATGGAAAAACTGTAAGAAGTTTCGACGATGATTTATAATTCAAAATCTTTTCAAAAAGTAATGAATTCGAATTGAATTATTCATCAACTCTTCTACAGAACACAGTGATTGAGGATTTTCACGAGTGCTTCTTTAGATGATCATCAAATTCAATAACCTTTCCAAATGAGGTGGAAACTCAGCAATTGAAACAAATCAAATAACTTAAACACGATTATACATGATACGCCTGCGTATCATTCAACGTTGAATAATACGTTTTTACCATCTCCATTATAACTCCAGTATTTAAAAGTAAATCATTCCATATTATAGTAGATTGTTTTATTAGGAAAGCAACATTTGCGAGTCGAACAAAGTCACTTTTGATCCGAATGAAACATGCTATTTTTTCTGCAACCAAAACAATTAATTCAAATGAACATGAGAAGTAACCACCAATACCGTGCCATATGTATTCAATGCAAGGTTAGGTTTTCAAGGATGTTCGAATTGTAGTTTCAATATAAATTCAACCACAGAGTGACATATTTGTGTATGGACCAGGTGCTCCAATGGCAAATACCGCACCAGTACCAGCTATAGGAACAAGACGTGGCAGATGTTAGGTTAGTGAGCATATCAACAATGATAATAGTGATTATTTATTCCTCTCCATACTACACTGTGTTTGACTTGATAATCAAATGGAGCTAAACAATATCGTTGTTTGAGACAAAAAACTATTGCTTGCCGTGATTATTCAAAAACAAGTAATCCATCCCTAGAATAACGAATGAAATACAGATCAAGCAAGTATTTGAATCTTGAAGGCTTCCCTGATCAAACAAAAATACTCAGCTGAGATGTTTATAATTCCAATACTAAACTATAATAAGAAAGTGAGTATGTTGCCTAGCAACATACCTATTTCTGTGTCAGTAATAGAAACGTCAATTTAAGAGCTAATTTTGGTATTAAAATGGACGACTTTTGTGTCGGTTGCAGAAAATAGTAGATTGTTTTATTAGGATCAAAAGTGACACTTTGTTTGACAAGCGAATTTTGCATTTGCGAGGCGGAGCGTTTAGCGGAGCCGAGCGAAAGCAAAATTTGCGAGTCGAACAAAGACACTTTTGATCCGAATGAAACATGCTATTTTTTCTGCAACCGAAACAATTAACTCAAATAAATATGTGAAGTTACCACCAATGCCGTGCCATATGTATTCAATGCAAAAATATTAAATAATCCGTGTGGTGAGAACATTCTACCTGCATCAACAGCAGGTTCATTCAATTTTCAAAAATGTTCGAATTGTAGTTTCAATATAAATACAATCACATAGTGACATAATATTTGTGTATGGACCAGGTGCTCTAATAGCAAATACCGCGCCAGTGTGCCAGCTATAGGAACAATACGTAGAAAATGTTAGGTTAGTGAGCATATCAACAATAATAATAGCGATTATTTATTCCTTTCCATAATACAATGTTTTTCGCCTGATAATCAAATGAAGGTAAACAATATCGTTGTTTGGGTAAAAAAATTATTGCTTGCCGTGATTATTCAAAAACAAGTTATCCATCCCGAGAATAACGAAAGAAATACAGATCCAGCAAGTATTTGAATCTTGAGGGCTTCCCTGATCAAAACAAAAATACTTGACTTGTTTATAATTCCAATACTCAACTATAATAAGGTGTATTTATATCTCCAGCATGAGTATGAATTGCCAAATCTGCCAAAATCGGAAACAAATCAGGTATGCATCTCAACCCAAATAACAAACCGTAACAATGTTGTTTATTCTTGATGACGCCCAGTACTTCCTTTTTAGTTCCTAGGAGCTAAAGTTCAACTTTAGCTCCTAGGAACTAAAATTCAACTTTAGCTCCTAGGAACTAAATATGTTGCCTGGCAACATACCTATTTTTGTGTCAGTAATAGAAACGTCAATTTAAGAGCTAATTTTGGTATCAAAATGGACGACTTTTGTGTCGGTTGCAGAAAAACGTATTTTCATGTTGTTGATAATGTTTATGTCCTATTTGCAATGTGAAGAATGATTCATACGATAGACAACACGTTCTATGCCATTATTGCCACATATACAGGGAGCAGCGAAAAAAGTTTGAAGATGAGTGCTATATCTGCAAATGGAATGCCATTCAAATAATTGAATTTCTTCAAAAAATTCAGTGACGCTCAACCAATATGATGATGACTTTGTCTTTATTAACCTGTAATTATATATTTCTTCTTTTCTTTCAATTAAACACCCCGTATATTTTTGGGTGAAGTGATGTAGTGACAGGAGGTTTTTTTTTGTGTTCGTTGGTGTCTATAGCTATTACTTTCCATTTTCTAATTATTATCAAATTTGAAAAAAATCAAATGAAAAACAAATTGGTCTTGGAACTTTTGGAGATTATTAGTTCTTGGGAATGCTTCCTTTGGCAGATGATTCCAAAGCTTTGCCGTTCTATATAGACAAACGAGTTTCAGTAGAGATTCGTTCGACATATTCGAAGGTTGACGGATGGATGAGCTGATTCTGTTTGTCGAGTTCGTCCGACCATGATTTTAGCAAGATCCGCATTGACAGCGTTGACCTGCCTTCGTCGTGAGTTCTTAATTTCCTGAGAGAAATCATTTCCGGTCATCCTGTATAATATTTAAGCATGAAATGGATCGAATATATCGTCCATGCATCAGTTCTATATCAAATGAAGTAATCATTCCCTCCCATATTCCAGAGGATCGCGATGACAGTGATTTTTTCAGTAGGTAAGTATACTCCTGCAGATGATATTATTGGGACAAACAAATTATAACTTTCAAATGATTGAGAGGTATACCTTATCAATAATAATAAAGGAGTATAGTGGGAGGGTCACTCACTATATTATGATCTCTCGTTATAGACCCTGTTATTCAGTTTACATCTGCAAATGATATTATTTGGACGAACAATCATACCATTCAAATGAATGAGACGTAATGATAATGGAGGATTAGTTCGAGGTCACTATTATGATTTAAATGTGCTAAAATACATGGCATTCATTCTATTGAAAAAATTGCCCTCATCTTGAAGTTTTTTGGTGCACTCTGTATATGCGGCAATGATCTCTTGTTATAGATCCTGTTCTGTAGTTTACATATAATTTTGGATGATATCATGTTTCCATCTATCATAGGACCCGAGCAATATCTGACTCTAACGTTCTATTGCCCCACCCTTATGAACCCTAATTATTAGTCGATTCTGAGTAGTTTTGGTTTCGTATTATTATCATCATGAACATTTTTAGTTCAGTCATTGGGGATCCAAAATAAGGCTTACCTGGAAAAAAGTCCGGAAGTTTTGAAACTTTGTAGGATTATAGTTTTGGGTGTTTAGGACTAAAATTCACAAAATGCACATTCCGGGACATGCCGCCGGCGCCGCCATCTTGCCAAGATGGCGCTCAAAAACGGTTTTTTGAAAATATCTCCGAAACGGTGTGTTTTTAGAAAAAATATGAGGACATAAAAATTCAAGATGAAGAAATTTTCTACAAGAAATGTTCCGAGCATATTTCTGCTAAAGAGAGCCGTTTAGGCTCAAGAGCTGATTGAATGACAACATATTCTGTTAATTTCTATAAACTGCCCCTAACTATCTCCATATATGCGTATAAATTCATATTTTATGATAAAACGGGCTATTCAATTTGTTCCTCGTTATATTGGACGATTTTTAGATCAATTATGCGACAAAAATTTTGCATTTGTCACTTGCGATTATTTGGGCGATATAAAAATTGCATTATCGACGAATCTGGCGACTTTGCTACAGAAGTATGTGGGTGCAGGATGGTTATGAGTAAATTTCATACCTATACTACGTATCTCGTACTGTAAAACCGCCCATAAATTCATAGAAATTTGAAATTTTGCTTTCTTGTCTTTATCACTCCATCCCAATATGAGTAAATACACAAAATATATATTTCAGATATTTTTATAAACGGTTAAAACACAAGAACTTATCCATCAACTAAATTACCTTTCCTAGCGAACACAATTTGCCAATCAGTAATTTTACGAGAAAAACGGACATGAAAATATTGCGAGACCGTAGGTCGAGTAGGTAGGTAATTTTGATGTGCTGAATATATGTACTTATTTAAAAAAAAACTCGTATGAATAGCAAAAAAAATTTAGTTCCATTAGACTCTTTGAAAGAATAATAACATCACACAAATTGGGCGATTAGGCCTACAGGGGAAACCACGTTAAAAAAAACGCGCCGTGTACTTAACCTCTTGGGTGGTGTGGAAACAAGTACAGCATTTAAAATCGAAATTGATTGATCATGAATTATTAACATGGATTAATTGATGAATTCATCGATTAATTGAATAATGGATATCCACCGTTTCGTGATGAATATTTTTAAAGTCCTTAAATATCAGATTTGGGGACCCCTAATACACATATTATTTCCGAAACTCGCCACTACAGAAAACTTACGCAACATTTGTGATTTGGTAAGGGCACTTGTGCCTTAACGAGGGTACTTTAGCGAGAATATTCTAGAAACATATTTTATAGGAAATATCCTCTGTCAGCAAGCTATAAATATAACGAGAAACCAATTAGATAGCCCGTTTCATTATAGAAGATGAATTTATACGCATATTTGGAGATAGTTAGGGGCAGTTTATTGAAATTAAAAGAATATGCTGTCATTCAATCAGCTCTTGGGCCTAAACGGCTCACT